AAACATGCTTGAACGTTATATTAGAGATTTTCTTTCTTCGATTAATACGAAAGAGCAAGACTAATATAAAAAAAAAATATATCAGCACTGACCAAAGAAGCAGAGAAACATTCAGCCAAATGATGATAAAAAAAAAGAAGAACATCACCACTCTTCTTACGTTCGTCATCAACCTTAGACATTACAGAGACAGATCAACCGAGTTTCACTACTGTCTCTCATGGTTGATGATCGAATATTGCATTTGAGAAGGGGAGGATATTAATTGAAAATATAACAAAGACACGGCAAAAATTACGGGAGGGATTAGAGCTCAACTGATTCGGTATTTTGGCCTGAACTCGGTTGGAGCCGCAAGTGATGGCACGGGCCACACGGCTAATTTTAGTATCGCACTGTGTTTGGAGAGGCAGCACTAACAACAAAGGCTGATGAGGAGTTCTGGAGCATGATTCACCTAAGAAGACGAATCGCCGGAATCCTATTAGTGACCAAATGGATTTCATTGCTGCAGGCTGCTTTCTATAAACAGAGAGAACGGAGACGCAAAACACAAGAAAAAAAAAGATGAAAGAATCCAGGAAGAAGGAAAGAAGCAAGGCGATGGAGGAAAGGATCAATGGGGAAGAGGGTTCGGAGAAGAGATCACTGCTACTCGTTCACCGTTGTTGTGACGAGTGAAGAAGGGGATGAACAATACTCTCCCCAGAGCTCTCCTCTCGATTCTCTTCTTACCCCTTCAAATGAAGCAGTCGCACCCCTTTTTAAAGAAAATACAAGGGTAGTTTCGTAAATTTAATAAATCTTGTGGGGGGTTGCAACTTTGTGCGCGCGGGTCAAAAACGGTTCAGTGGGTCAAAACAGAGGTTTGGTTTGATGAGATGGGTGGTTCCAGGTTAAAGAAAAAGAAGGACTGGGATTTGTCTAACTATAAAGAGGGGTTTTGTCTAACCATAAAGAGGGGATTTGTGTCGATGGGCTAGCGAGATTGGTGGAAACGGAATCTTCCGCAATGGATGGGTAAATGGGGGTATTTTTGTCTGAAATTTGACAGGGTGAAGTTTTTGGAGGTCCTGAGTTGTATGGTGGGATTGGATTGGGCCAAATTGGACCATATCAGGCAGATCTGGAAAAGGTTTGGTTCAACTAATCTAGGGTCTCGGAATGGAATGTAGGTACAACCAAGGGGCAAATAGGGTTTGTTTTGGATGAAAGTTCTCAGGGTAGAGTTTTAAGTTAGTTTGATGTGGTTGGTAAGGTTAGATTGAGTCAACTAGGTCTGGATTGGACATATTTTGAAAATGGTCAATCCGGAGCCTTGAAATGGAATCTTGCGATAATTAAGGGTAAACAGTGATATTTTGGGCTGAAATTTCATATGTGGGTATTTGATGGTGTGCGGGATTTGATAGTAAGGTCTGATTAGTCTTTGGGGGGTCAAGATTGTAGGAATTTGGCTCAATAAGATGTTTTGGAACGGAATCTTGGTTTGATGGAAGGGAAAATAGGGGAATCTAGGGATGAAACTTTTATGGGTAGGTGTTTTGATGTGTCTAGAGTTTAATAATGTGCTTTCATTGGTTTGGTTGTGTTAAGATGAAGGGGGATCTGGGTTCCGAGTGTTTAGGCTAAAATTTTATGGGTAGGTATTTTGGGAGGTCTTGAGTCTGGTGGTTGTGTCTAATCTAATGGTTGAGGTGTAGGTTGGAGTTGATTGGGGCCATTGGATAGGTATTAGACATGTTTAACGGTGGATCTAAGAGCTCTTGGGGTGAAATTCGAGTTTTTTTGGTTTTTGGGTGTTTCAGATGGATCAGAAGGGTCTGATCGGGGATTTGGGGCAAATTGGGGGTACAGGTGGCAAACTGAGCAAAAATCAGGTGCTAACAATGAAGTAACAAAACAACGATCAAAATCATCATATAAGGAAACAACATTTTTTTTTCCTTAAGCACAAGATGCATGTACAATTGCAAGTTACAAACATTGGCATCTTAAGATCAGCAAGAATACAAGTCGTCACAACAACGAAACAATACATCACACCCAATCAGCCAAGGCGGAACTAATTTTTCCCGCATCTTAGAAATGACATCAAGTTGTGCCCTCTATTCTTGCAATAATCTTTTCTATTTACGTGTAACCTCCTCAAGGATAGATGTTATCGTCTCTCCACTCTTCTAGGCGGCTACATCTATGAACGTCAACTACTTGCGAAGGTCGGGATGCACTCATAACCATCACACGAACAATAGCCAAGATATCATATCTATTGACTACGACATGATGGAATTCATTAACCCAACCATGGTATTCAAAGAGGCACTCATAACCACGGGAGGAACCTCGATTGAAGGAAGCCAACCCTTCTGAATAACAAAAGAAATAGTGTTGGTGATGCTATGCGAGATAATAAACTGCTCATGCCTCCTAGGACTCTGAATGTTCACTGGGTCAACCACAATGAACCTGACAGGAACCATTTCTTTTTTTCATAAAACTCAATCAACTCCCTCTCAACAACAACAAGCTTGTCTTGAGTAGAAAACTCTTTAACATAAGGAATGTTCCCATCACTCCCCTAAACATGAGGAGCCTCTTCCACACCCCCTAAAGTAGAGAAATCACGTGCATCCACACCACCTTCGACCACTTGTTCTACTGCCCCAATTGATTGGTGCTCTCGACCTAAACCAGCTCCTCGACTTGATAGATAGAGTCATCACCAAGATTAGAAGAGGGCTTTAGATGAGACCTCATGATTAGAGTGCCTCTACCCTCAACCCTCTCTGGCACAACGTCACCCACTCCGATCACTAGGAATGATGCACCAACGACAAGATCCTCACCAACCGCTTCTTCCTTCCCGAACTTTGGTTCAAAACTACTCAGCTCATCAATCAACCGCCTAATGATGTGCAGCACAACAACGACAAAAGGAGAACAAGGGAGACACACTTGCACTATGAACATGATGTGGAAGGGGCCTATCATAAAATGGAAGACTCTCTCATGGTACCTTGGCATTCACGAAAATGATGGGTGAACACATACTGGATAGAAAGGTTTAACCTAAAATGGCTATGAACATTGTCTAACAGAGACCAAAGGGAAAGCTCATAAGATGAGTGGATGAGATCCTTCATAAGGTGGTGGGGTTTTATAGCTGAAACAGTTGGCTCCATGCACCCCATGTGGTTTCCCACATTTCCAGAGACATAATTGTCTCCATCATTGAGATTGGAGGGAATCTTAGAGATGGTCAAAATGGAAATGGAACATAGATTAAAAGCCCTTTTTATGTGATGACATGAATCAATTAGGTTGTTGACTTATAAATCTGCTTTGCCTTTACCAAAAATGGCAAACGAAACCTTCACCAAGTTGTTGGATGATAACAAACTCAAGGGCCCTAATTATGCTTACTGGTTTCGAAGCCATATGCTAGTTCTGACATCCGAGAAATTCAACAAAATTGCTAAGAACCCTGCTCCAGATCGTTCGGGTGACAGGGCTTCTAAGGCCCGAAGAAGAGAGTATCAAGAATGGGAAGAGAAAAATTCTCTTGCCCGATAAGATCAAAGTGTCCAAAGATATATTGGATAGTTTAAATACTATGTATGAAGAGTAGAACTGTTCTACTCGACAAAAGGTCTTAAAATTGTTTATGACCGCACAAATGACCGAGAACCAACAGGTTCATGACCATTGTCTAAAGATGATGGGTTATATCAATGAACTGGAGGCTCTCGGGTCAAGGTTAGATCATGACACCAAAATTGATGTTGTCCTCAATTCCTTATCTCTGTCCTTCAATCAGTTTATCATGAACTACAACATGAATAAGCTAAACGTTAGCCTTCAGGAACTCAGCTATGTGTTGCACAGGGCTGAAGAACTGATTAAGAAGGATAAGGTGATAGCCATGCTTGTTGAAGGTGGCAAATCGGGCAAGAAAAAGCAAAAGGCTAAATGGAAGGCTTAGAAGAAGGGTAGAAAAACTAAAAAGCAGAAGAAAGATAAGGCATCAAATGCCTGTCACTTCTACAATCAGACCGACCACTGGAAGAGGAATTGTCCTCAATACCTGGAGATTAAGAAACAAGGTACATCCGATACTTTCATCATAGAGACCAATTTGTTGGTCACTTTTGCATCCTGGTGTATTGACTCTGGGGCTTCGAATCATGCGTGTAACTCACTGCAAGGTTCAAGATAAGGAGAAGACTAAGTGATGGAGAAGTGACACTTTACTTGGAGACTTCTACAACTGTTGCAGCTACGGCCATAGGCACTGTAGAATTAGTTTTCAAAGAGTGGATTATTGTACTAAGAGATTGTCTTTTCGTACCTAATTTAAGAAAAAATTTGATTTTTGTCTCAAAATTGTGCATGGATGGTTATTCTATTTTGTTTAGTAATGTGATTACTATTAAATGGAATAACAAATTCCTGGCATATGAGGAACTTGATAATGGTCTCTGTGTTCTCCGTCCCTCTTCGTGGGCCATTCCACAAAATTGCATAGTGAGGGTTTGGCATAATCCATCATGGTTCTCTGTTCAGCCATTTCTTAAGCTTCTTGAGCTTCTTGTTGGACTTGTCTAACTGCTCTTAGATGGACACGGAGAGTTCTTTCAATCTCCGGGTCATAGAGGATCTCCTCCAGCTCGACTCTGCTTGTCATAAACTGTGAAAGTCAAGGCAATAAAAAGGCTAATACAACAGAATATGATGACAAAATAGAATAACCATTATGAGGAACTTATTATTCCATTTAATAGTAACTTGCTATAAATCCAATTTGGTATTCCATTTAATAGTAATACCACCAGACTTGTTATTCTTAGTAATAGTAACAAATTCCTAGCATATGAGGAACTTGTTATTCCTAGCATATGAGGAACTTGCTATTAAATGGTATTACTATTAATTGTGCCAATTCCACCATTTAATAGTAACAAATTCCTAGCATATGAGGAACTTGTTATTCCTAGCATATGAGGGCTGATTACCACCAGACTTATCATCAGCCCGAACCAAAATCCAATTTGGAGGAGCTGATGACAAAATTTATAGCAAGTGCGGAAACCAGGTTTCAGAACCAGGAAGCCCCAATCAAGAACCTGGAAAACCAAGTAAGGAAATTGGCACAATTAATCTCTTCCAGACTGTCGGGAACTCTTCCAAGCAACACTGAAGTGAATCCATGAGAGCAGGTACAAGCTATTACCTTAAGGAGTGGAAAAGAGTTGCCCGAGGTAGAAAAGAAGAATTGGGCTGAACCCAAGGCAGAAACAAGCCTTGGGACCAGACAACAGAAGAAGGAACAACCTGAAGTACAACAAGGGATGCACCAGCAGCCACAAGTTCCATTCCCTAACAGGCTGAAGCAACAGAAAATGGAGAAGGAATTTGGTAAGTTTCTTGAAATATTTAAAAGTTTACACATTAATATTCCTTTTGTTGATGCTTTAGCCCAGATGCCACACTATGCAAGGTTTTTGAAGGAATTATTTGCAAACAAAAAGAAACTGGGAGATGTGGCTATAGTTGCTTTGAATGAAGAATGTTTTGCTATCCTTTTGAACAAGCTACCTCAAAAACTCAAAGATCCAGGGAGTTTCACCATTCCTTGTACAATAGGCAGTTTAAAAATTGAGAAAGTTTTATGTGACCTGGGAGCTAGCATCAATTTAATGCCATTTTCTATCTTCAAGAAATTGGGATTGGGGGAACCCCAACCCACTAGAGTGGCATTACAATTGGCTGATAGATYCATTAGACATCCTAGGGGGATCATAGAAGATGTCTTAGTTAAAGTTGACAAATTCATTTTTCTAGTTGATTTCATTGTGTTAGACATGCAAGAAGATGTGGACGTCCCACTTATCCTAGGGAGACCCTTCCTGGCTATCGGGAAAGCGATGATTGATGTCCAACAAGGACAACTCAGCCTTAGGATATAAGATGCGGAGATAATTTTTAAAATGTCTGATGCTATGAAACATGCACCCTCTAGTGATGATTCTTGTTATATGATTGATGCCATTGATATGACAATTGATGAATGCTTCCAGGTAARTAGGATGGCTSATCCTCTTGAACTCTRCCTCCARTAGGGAGAACTTGAAAAAGGAGAAAATGAAGAAATAAACCTCATGATAGCATATCTGAATGATAAGCCTCAATTCAAGGGAAAGGGGTTTCTCAAATTAGAGAACTTAGGCAAATTGCTTGGACCATCAAGTAAGCCATCATCCCAAGAACCCCCCACCCTTGAACTGAAGCAATTACCTTCCCATTTAGAGTATGCTTTCCTTGAGGAACCATCAGCTCTCCCCGTAATAATTTCCGCATCACTGAATCCATTACAAAAAGAAAAATTATTAAGAGTGCTGCGGTAACACAAAAATGCTATAGCCTAGAAGGTAGAGGATATCAAAGGCATTAATCCATCAATCTGCACTCACATAATTTTGATGGAAGAGGACAGCAAGCCTTCCGTTCAGCCCCAAAGACGCCTAAACCCCAACATGAAAGAAGTGGTAAAGGCCGAAATAATTAAGCTATTAGATGTCGGGATCATTTATCCTATTTCTGACAGTTCTTGGGTAAGCCCCGTGCAAGTCGTGCCCAAGAAAGGGGGTATGACCGTTGTTCCAAATGAGAAAAATGAACTCATCCGACTAGAACTGTCCCGGATGGCGTGTATGTATTGACTATAGAAAGTCAAATGAAACCACCCGGAAGGACCATTTCCCTCTCCCATTTATGGACCAAATGTTAGAGAGGCTAGCCGGGCATGAGTATTATTGTTTCTTGGATGGATATTCGGGGTATAACCAGATCCCAATTGCACCAGAAGACCAAGAAAAGACCACTTTTACTTGCCCATATGGTACCTTTGCATACCGAAGGATGCTCTTTGAATTATGCAATTCCCTAGTAACCTTTCAGCGATGCATGATGTCCATATTTTCTAATATGGTTGAAAATTTTATTGAGATCTTTATGGATGATTTTTCAGTTTTTGGCTCTTCGTTTGATGCATGTTTGAATAATCTGGAATAGATGCTTACTAGATGCGAAGAAACACATCTTGTGTTGAATTGGGAGAAATGTCATTTTATGGTGCAAGAAGGCATAATGCTTGGACACAAGATCTCTCACAGAGGTATAGAAGTCGACAAGGCCAAGGTGGAGGCAATTGAAAAATTGCCACCCCCATCATCTATCCGTTCTGTGAAAAGTTTCTTAGGGCATGCCGGCTTCTATAGGAGGTTTATTAAGGATTTCTCAAAAATTGCCAAGCCACTATCTACCTTGCTTCAGAAAGAAGTGCCTTTTGATTTTTCAATTGAATTCCTTCATGCTTTCAACACCTTAAAAGACAGATTGATCTATGCACCTTTCATGGTAGCACCAGATTGGACCCTCCCATTTGAATTAATGTGTGATGCGAGTGATTCTGTTGTAGGGGTTGTTTTGGGACAAAGAGTGAACAAACATTTTCAGCCAATTTACTATGCTAGCAGAACCTTGAATGGACCCCAACTCAATTACACCACCACAGAAAAGGAACTGCTAGCAGTAATCTTTGCACTTGACAAATTTTGTTCATATCTGATATTGTCCAAAGTTGTTGTATACACAGATCACTCGACATTACGACACTTGCTTACCAAGAAAAATTCAAAACCAAGACTGATCAGGTGGATCCTTCTACTACAAGAATTTGATATTGAGATTAGAGACATGAAGGGTGCTGTAAACCTGGCTGGTGATCATCTCTCCCGATTAGACAAGGTAAGCTCAGAAGAGGAGATAACCAGCAACATCCGAGAAGAATTTCCGGATGAACAATTGTACTCAGTTCAAGAATACGCATCTCCTTGGTATGTTGATTTTGCAAATTATCTAGCTGCACAAGTCATTCCTCCTAACCTATCATATCAACAAAAGAAGAAATTCCTTTTTGATGTAAAATACTATCTATGGGAGGAACCCTTTTTATATAAATTATGTGCAGATCAGATCATAAGGAGATGTGTCCCTGGGGAGGAGATGGAGTCGGTACTCCAATTTTGCCATGATAAAGAAGCAGGAGGTCATTTTGGAGCTAGCCACACCGCAGCCAAGGTTTTGCAATCAGGTTTTTATTGGCCTACATTATTCAAAGATGCCCACAGGTATGTATCCACATGTGACAAATGCCAAAGATCGGGAAATTTATCCTGCCAAGGCTGACACTGATGTGCCGCCAAGTTGGTTGGGGTGCTTGCCTCAGCTACCAGGGTGAGACCTAAGGTACATGCAATGTGGGTTTTCTTGAAACCTTGATCGAGACCAAAATGACAGTATTGCCCTGGACCTTGGAGATACATGGGCAAAACTAGAATGTCACACCTGACCCTTAGACTCGATTATGATACTACACTAGGTGTCAGATCGGACTGTCTTTAATATGCCAATCAGTGAAATCCAATAAGGGGGTCAAAACCTGGGTATGTTGGGATAGTCCGAGAATTCATCTAATTGGGTAATCATAGTGACAAGATCAGCCCCTTTATCAGACAAAGTGAATGATCGGGGATGCACTCTCTCTGATGGAAACCTAAACTGCTGGCAGTTGAGTTCAAACATTGAAATTTGTTTTTGCAAAATATATTTATATAGAGATATATACATATATATATTATGATTTYAAAATGTTTGCAAAAGGTTTTAATTCTCGGGATCCATGTGAGTAGAGAGTGCAACACTATACCTTGCAGTCGAGGGAGAGGTCCTCTCTGGTCGGACAGTGTTTGATTATTATGGGCTGAGAGGTTAAGTGTAAGACCATTGAGGGTAATACCTGATGGGATAATCTTCCACCTGCCTACAGTGCTAGGGTTTTCATATGGTGGTTGTACCCAATGACCATTTAGTGTGAATGTTGGGCCCGTTAAGAGCCCATGGTGATGGACTCAGGGGTTCACTGTCTCCTACAGTGAATTCGGCTAGGCCTTGTAACAAAGGCTGGGTTGAACCCATGTGGCTAATGTGTAGATCAATGTTTGGGTCCCACGCCATACAAAGAGAGCCAAATGGGCAGCAGGTTAAGTGGTGAGTGAGCACATAATCTTAATAGGCCTAAATCCCAATTCAAACTAGTCTTAAATTAGTTAATTAAAAGGGGGCAAGATCTGACTTATAATCTGATTAGGATTAGCTGAAAGGATAATATAAGTCTTATCCATTCAAGAGTCCAAATCCAAATATCAGATTTGGATTAAGTAACTCTCTCCTAATTAGATTAGGATACTGATCCTGAGAAGGCTATAAATAGGGGGCGAATTCTTCAGTTTCAACACACAGCAACCTGTAGAATTCTCTCATATTCTTGTCATCCCTGCCCAGTTTGATCTTCTCTTGAGGAATTGATCAAGAAAGGTTATTGATATTGTTTCTTGGCTAAAGAAACCATCTAAAGTCGTGCTCACCAGCCCCTATTTGATTCTTGCTAAAGAATCTTGGTTCTTGCTGAGGAGTCATCCTGTCAATCCTGCTTCATCACACATTGTGTCATCCTTAATGGAAGCGGATTTTGGTCTTCTCCTTAGGTGTGAACTCCTTCATTGAGAGTGATTACTACTTCGTATCAGGTATATCTTTCTCCTCCCTTTTGGTGCCAAATCTGGTCCGGTTTTGGTTCAAGATTGATCCTTGAAAATGTAGTTTTTCTAAAATAGGGAATGCGATTCTTAGATGGAAGAAAGAGAAATTTTTGAAATTTTGCCCAATCTTCCTGTAGGGTTCGGCCATCCATATGATAAATCTCTCATCCCTTCATAAACAATCGTCATTTGCAGCTGGGGTCCATCACTTAATGAATGGTATCGTCCATCTCCTCATATATGAATCAAAGAAACATTGATGCCAGTGGTAGTCAGTGCCAACCAACGACATGAAAGGTAAGCGACACTAGGACATCTCGTAAATCATAATCAGGGATACCAGAAAACAAGAATTTGGAAGTAATGTAAAGGATGAACATATCCAAGTGACATTGTTTGTTCATATTCCTCACCATGAAATCATCTATACCTCGACATTCAAACCAGTGCCTAATCCAACCATCAAGAGGCATCTTATCATGAATGGAAGTGGCATCTATTTTAGCCTGGAACATATCTATCTCTACCACCAACTCTTTGTGGACAACTATGATCTCGCTAGGAATACTTTTAGCATACTATAGATGGTGCGCAGACACGGTACCTACCAGAGGCAAAGCCAGCAAGGCAACGACATCCTCCATTATCACTCCAAACTTGCCAAAGGCACTAACAAACATATGTGTCCGACAACATCAATGTGCCAAAAGAGGCTCCATGAAATCAACGTTGTCCCACCCTAGAAGGTTCATGAAACAACCCACCAATCTCAATAGGCTAACATCTCGAAGAAGCCTACAATACATAGGGTTGTCCAACACGAAGGTCGCCTAGGATGTATAGTTAGTGGAACCCTTTGTTTTCCCCATCTTAGGTCAATGCACTTATACACCATTTATACTTTTACCGGCCATATAGATACAAAAACTTGTTCGCATCGACGACATCAAATGTGTCATCTTTCCCTTTCAACACGGGAAATCAACAAATGGACCATATCCACCTTGCGTATGAAATCAACAAATGGACATGCATCTCTCACTGCCTTCTTTTGCTAGCAATGAGCCATTCAAACCAAAACAAGAAACCCTTAACATACCATAACAGAGAGAAGAGCGCAAACAAGAGCAATACTCACAACAAGGAATGAAGGTTGTGCAAACGAGACTCTCAGCTCATAAGAAAACTCCCTCCTAAACGTCCTTTTAAAATAGAACCCCAACATGTATTGGGAATTAGGACAATGCCGCACAATCGGGTAACATGACCGCTCAGTCACTTCCTACCAATCGATTAGAAAAAGGAAA